TATCACATGGAACCTTTTCAAATAATTTCCTCTGAGTCATGAGCCGTTATGTCAGCTGGAGGTGAAAAATCTAGACTCCAGTTCAAGTAAAAGATGCTCCGGGCTTTGCAAAATCACCCCAGCCAATGCTAATTTATAAAGTCTGTTCTCATCCCAAGACAACATGCTTTCTCAGCTCATGTATTTGCTCTAAATGCGTGACATGTATTTTCCGTATTGATGTGTATCAGGTGGCAGAAATGTTGTCCAGGTGGACCGGGGAAGGAAGGGTAGTGGTTGGATGCGGCCCATGGCCAAGCACAACAGCTTCCATTCCTCCCTTTCCACCACCACCTCCCACCCTCCCTCCCTTCATCATACTGATTATCCAGATTTTATTCAGCGAGATGTGAGAATTAATTTTGCTGAGTTTATCAGCGTAGTAACTGACTGCCAGGAACAAGGGATAACTAATTAAACTAAAAGTAGCAGTTACTAAATTATATACACTTTTTCCTGCAGTAACTGTTTTTGAAATCCACTAACAATGAATCCCAACAAGTCGCTGTTTCTCATATATACATAGATGGCATGAAACGTCATCAAGCTTTTTAAAGCTAGAGTCGAGTCACACTTCGGAAAGGGTTGTTAGTGAAGCTACAAACTACTAACAAAAAGTAGCAAACTACATTGAGGATCTTTAAGGAGAGATAGCATTTTTTTGTATGAATGGAGTTGGTGACTTTGAATGAAAAAGATGGACTGTCATTTAGTGAGACAATCTGTGGCACTCCACTTAGCTGTTTTGTGTTAGCGCTAATCTGTTGACCGTCTCCTTAAAGGAGTTGTTTAACTGTATGCCTTTCTCCTTAGGATGAAGGGTTGTTTATCCCCCCTGCCCCCTTTGCTTACACATTGATGTAGGCCTTCTGGATTTACTGCGGTGTTTCTACAGATGCTGTGAAGTTTGCTGTCTGCAGAGTCGAGACGCCTGCTCTGCCATTTGCATCCACCTGGCAGTTTAGTAAATTCATTAGCCAGAGGCAAGAAAACAAACACACTGCCCTTTCCACCCTCCCACCTCCACTCTGCCTTTCCACGTTCGCTCTTTTTATTCCCTGCTGCCCTCCGCTTTGCATTTGTATTCCAGATTCCATTGGATTCTGTATGTTAATACTGTATTCAGTGGTTTGGAATGTTGGATTATAGCCGTAGCCTTCAGTCATGTTTCCACTGTCACACTAATTAAACGAAACCCGGTATTTACTTTCGAGAAACGCACAGCAGCACGTCTGTTTAGCATTTTGAGCTGAAATTTTGTATCGTAAATGCATTTAAATAAGCCCTCGGTTTTGAGAAGTTACAATGCTCATAATGAATGTTCCCGGAGCCGTCTGATGTAATATACTTAGCACACCGTGCAGACCGCAGATCTGTCCGAGCGATTCCCAACAGGGCAATGCTGGATTTCTAACCCCACATTGGGTGCTATATCGTGGTTTTGGAACTTACATGCTCCACTCCTCCTTCTGCTCTGCGCTGGGTGAAAATGTGGCAGCGATAAATGTTGGTTATCTGAATTTGCTTCTCCTAGTATAAGGGTTTAGATGTTTTTTACAGGAAGCCAGATAATTAAATGATAGAGGAAATTTTTTGATGATATGATAGAAAGCAAGTTTTCAGCTGTGCGTTATCAAAATAGACCACAATTCAGGCCCAGTAGTCTGATCTGTGGGGTTTGGTATTTGATTATTGGGTAACACTTGTTCAGAATGAGCCGAGTATTGTTAAGAATCTAACGGCACAACCTTGTTATTTTTGCTGCTTGAGATGGACCGCAAGGACCGAAGCCTGTTATTTGAGTGAATTCTTAACTAGAATATGGTTGGATTTTAATTACTGTCCTCACAAGGTCTTGTGTGTGAGTGGAGGTGGGCGGCCTCTGTGGATTTGGTCACTGTGTTGTGGAGCAGAAGTAGGTTGGGCTTCAGGAAACTCCCTGTAGTGTCAGAAGCAATCGGGTCTAAGCCAGTATTAATTAAAGGATCTGGACTGGGCCGAAGGGAGGCTTCTGGGTTACACGCGCACACAGACCACAACAGCCTCAAAAAGAGAGTGTTCTTTATTTACGCAAAGAGATTTTTGTATTAACGCTCTAAGAACCACATTTTATTATGAACTAGAAAGTAAGAAATCATGTTTTTTCCCTATTTCATCCAATGATTTTAAGACGCGTCACCGGTAGCACTTACACATTTGCGCCGCTATCTGGCTAGAGACAGAGCTCTAGCTAAACGTCAGTCATGCGTGTGGCATTTGAATGGCCGTCCTGTTGATATTAGCTGTTTAGATGCTATTAGTGCAGGTCTGGTGGAAACATTCATGCCTGAGAGAGTCTGAATCCTGCTTAAATGTCTAATAGTGCTGTAAATGCACACGGTTCATGACAGGTTTCACTGACCCAAGGTCAGCACGAGTGTCACAGTCTCTTTGTTAAGTAATGGCAGTGCCCGTTTCTGTGTCTTTTCTGGGTTCGGGGTGTTTTAGAGGAGAGGGGAACACCCGTGAAAGAGGCACCTCTCATTTGTTCTGTGTCTAACCACCAACTCAAGCATGTGTGAGTTTATCAGGGTAATTTGTGCCCTGGGAAATGTGATTCAACACATTTGTCTCCTTTTCCTTTACATAAACACATATCATTTCTTTTTTAATTTGTCAGTCACCCTGGGTAGATCAGCCTAACCAAAATCAGCCAAGTTTTCAGAAGTACACAGAAGATCCTGCAGAAATACATGCAGTACCAGATCCTACCACGTGAGGGCGAGGTAAACTAATCAGGCTTGTGCTGGGCAGCTTTAGAGGAAGTGTTTGGGATTAAATAGACTTGCATCAGAGCAAACAATTCTATAGTAGGGGTGGCTAATTCCACTTATTTTATTTTAGATCCAGTACTTTTTAAATAGGCTAATGTTGAATCTAATACTTATACCTGGAAAAAATTGTGATGTCTGTGGATAAAGTGAGCAATTATAGCCATTAACAGCTAACTCTAATTCAAAAGGCATTATTTACATTTGAATTTGCATAAACAATTTTTTTTTTTACTTTGAAGCATGATACACATCAAATATTTAATAATAGTCATTAATTGCTTATATGTTGAATATACTGAAGGGCAGAATATATGTCAATAAATGTCAATATTATAATATACAATAAAAATCTATATTTTTCATCTTCCATCTGATTTCAGAGTCATAACAGTGCCATTTGTTTGGTCTGAGACTCTGGGTAAGTACAAAACGCAACTGCCCATCATGGCAGCTTCAGTTTACTGGACAGATGGGTGGTATGGGAAGATCTTACCTGGGTCTTTCTCCATCTATGAATTCTAACTATTTGTTCTGTGTTCAGTTGTTCTGTTCAAAGAGACACATGGGCTGCCTTCATATCCACAAAGCTGGAGACAGAGTCTTTCTGACCCGTATCCTCCCTGCGCTGGGCCTCAGCCACCTGTGGTGCAGCTAGACCATCCATCTTTCCCCTATACACACACACACACACACACACACACACACA